GTGGCCAAAATAACTCAAAATACCGTGACTGAGCCCCTGTGAGATAGATTCAAATGACAATATTAGCTAATTTTTCTAATATACAGCATCTCTTATGTAGCTGCTTTTGAGGTTAAGACAATGGTCTGCACTTGTAGATACTTACTCATTTCACTGTCTCTAATGTAAACCAACATATAAGCATTTGTGCAGTGCTTTACTGTAATGTCATCCTAGCAAGAATGAATTGATCAGTATCAACTGCTGTCCACTAAGCAGAAACAAGAATGGATATCACATCAAATGCCTCACAACATTATAAGAGGAACAAAACTGCTTAACTTCCTAGAGAAACAACAGTTCCTGCATGAAACGGGTTGTGCATCACAAGACCAGAGATAATTTGTGTCTTAACCTGTTGACTGGTCCCATTCACAGCCAAAATTTGGATCTGAGTATTTCCCATGTCAGTCATCTCAGTAATGTGGCACTGGCTAATAATTAAATGATATGTTCATGGGGAAAATTTGATGAAGTTTCTTTCAAAAGAAACTTACCCTGTGTACGTACTAGAGCATTTCACCAAGGTGTTTTCCAAAGAAGTACATGTAATATACAATAATTATTATAATTATAACATAGCGTGCGTACTAGTCCTGCCTACATGTAATTCCTATAGAGCCATCTCTATATACACACAGCCATGCATATATAACATGATGTGTGCAGTTTCAATTTAGCTGCAACATTTCCGTCTAGTTTAGTGCAAGTTCTTTTTGTTAAGTTTCGGAAATGTGAATATTATTCTGAACAATCCAAACTCTACTTCGAGCCTTTGACTTTTGCCTGGCTAAAATGTTTACATAAACTTGAGTGTTTTGACTTTATTTGTCTTCATTTTCATTGAGCATTTTTGACTTTGCTTGCCTACATTTTCATTATAATTAATTTGAAGAAGCGAATTTTTCATTGACAATTTTAGAAACCAGGTTAAGCGTTTTCATTCAACTGTTGCTCAATTGATTGTGGCATGTTAGGATCCTAATGACCTTTGTTTTCGTTCACCGCGCATTGTGAGAACTAATCTTAGTCAATCACAAATAAAACATGTTTGAGCGACCCAAGTTGTTGTCACCCTGTTATAAAAGAATTAGTTCATGCTTTTAGCTGAGTGTATATCGAGTTATGGATGCACTTGGGAAGTTTGAGGAGTACTCAAGAAGCTAGAGTTGCTCTCGACTTTCACCTCAAGCAACTCTTACACTTCTCTCGGGCTCTCCAAACTTGCCACGTGTATCCATAACTCAATATATGCACGCTAAGCATAAACCAATTCTTAATTTAGTTGTGTACCTCATATCCTCCAAAGTTATTGTCAATTGATTCTTTTTTGGTGGCCTGAAAAATTCAACAATGGTGTTAGGATAAAACACAGATGTGGAAATAACAATTCAAAACTAGTTTTTTTGTTCATTATTTTTTCTAATTTTCTTCTCTAAAACAAGTTCAAGGAAGGAAGTAGATGAGAATTCTGAACTTGGGATTCAAAGAGTTATTAAAACACTATTCGAAAAAAAGTATCCATTACATTCAAATGTCAAGCATTTTGAGAGGCACAAATCTCAAAAGAAGAAAATGATG